AAAAAAATTCAGAAGTGTAGATTTAGACAGGACTTTCGAGACAAAACTTAGGAAATTGTGAGCTCATGCTCAGAACTTAAGATGGATTCTGAGTGCTATAATGGAGGCAAGCATGCTTTTTCATTCAATCTATTCTATCCCGTTAGAGGATACGAAATCTTGTATTTTCCATCATTCACCTTTGTGTTTTAATTAGTAAAACAGATTTGACTGAAATCATCAAACTACTGTCTTTGGAATCTCGCGTTTGAACAAATATTTTGTGTTGATGCTCGCGCAAAAATAATGTAAGAAATGATTGTACAAAAGAGCTAGTATAACGGTAAGACAGGACTGGCCCGACTCTCTCCTTACTTCCTCGCTCATGAGGAAATACCAGGAGAACGTCATGGGTTGAGGTACGGGAGGAAGCAATTGCAGAAGATAACTGAGAGCGCGAGTGCTGTGGAGATGACTTGACAAGGTTCGAGGAAAAATTGGCAAGGTATCCGTTGGAAACAAACCATTACAGCCTTGCTTACAAGGGAAGGATACTTGGTGACCATGGCCATTTATAATGAGATACATATCGGCAGATGCACCTTCAAATGCTGGTTCGAAAATTGACATTTATTTCTGCGAAACGATTATCTGGCTGGAGTTATGATTATATTTTTTCATAAAAAAGTGCAGTATTGCGGAGGCTCAAAATCATCTATGCAAAATTTTCCATATTTTCAAGTGCTAAATTTGGATCAGTCAGTCTGTTATCTGCCTAGGATTTGTTCCATAGCATCAAGCAGTATAGACCTATACCGCTGATTTCGTTTGTCCACAGATGCCCAAAATTTCTTCGAAAAAATGCTAATAACTTCTTTCATAAAGTCGTTTCGCAACTATCAAAGACAGATTTGGAACCAGCGTTTCAAGACCCATCTACTGGTATACATCTCATTGCAGAAGGCCACGGTCACCAAGTATCCTTCCCTTGTTAGAAATAAGTGAGGAAAATCTAAAAGATAGTTTTCAAATGAGCATCAAAGGAGCATTTTTCAGTATGTCCTGCCTCCATCCCGAAGAAAAAATAAACTTCATCAAAATACTGTTTTCTCA